CGTAGTAGATACTTATTGTCACACAACGGCGTAACAAGCTGCGAGAAAACAGCGTTACAACGTGTTACGTAAAAAATATTCTGTGTAAGTTATACATATACACAATATGTGTGTGTGTGTGTGTGTGTGTGTGTGTGTGTGTGTCGGTGGGGGTGTGTGGGTGGGTGTGAGTATGTGTATGTATAGACGCATATATGTACAAAAGTGATGCGAGAATTACGTGAAGAAGGTAATAAGAACGAGCAAAATAATAAGAGCGAACGGGAAATAGCAACGAGGACTCGAACTCGAAAATCGGATCTTCCTTTCACACTATTATTTTCCTCTCGCTCGCATCTATTACTGTCTCGCTCGCTCTTATTATTGTCTCGCTCGCATCTATTATTGTCTCGCTCGCTCTTATAATTGTCTCGCTCGCATCAATTACTGTCTCGCTCACTCTCGATTCTTGGGTCCGCTTATCTTTTCGAGCTGTCTATCATGATTGTCAAGTGTGACGGAGAAAGTAAGACGATGAATAGAGAGCGAGCGAGATGACCTATCATCAAAGAGTTCCGAAGGCTCTTACAATCGGTTTCTTCGCTTCCTCTATTCATTTGCAATTCACGAAAATGTAAACATCTTATAAAATAAAAATTAAAACTTTTATTCTTAATTTCATCGGTTTGAAATAATTTCAATGAATTCATGAGATTTTTGCGATTAAAATGATATCAAACACGGTGTAAATCGGGTTATTTTTAATTAGTCTGATAATACAAGTTTTATAATTATATATTTAACTAAATTTATGCCACTTATATCGTCTTTGATCTTCTTTTAATCGTAACATTCTCATTATTCTATTAAAATTACTTTCAAATGAATAAAAAATGCATTTTATTTTCTGACATATATTCGTGAATATTATAAATAAAGTCTCATGTCAGAAAATGCATTGTCAAAGACTTCGGAACTCTTTGATGATAGGTCATCTCGCTCTCTATTCATGGTCCTGTTTTTTCTGTCTTTTCACACTTGACAATCGTGATAGACAACTCGAAAAGATAAGCGGATCCAAGAATCGAGAGCGAGCGAGACAGTAATAGCAACGAGCGAGACAGTAATAGATGCGAGCGAGACAATAATAAGAACGAGCGAGACAATGACAGATACGAGCGAGAGAAAACTAATAATGTGAAAAAAAGATCCGATTCTCGAGCACGAATCCTCGTTTCTTGTGCTATTTCTATCTCATTCGCTCTTATTTCGCACGTTTTTATTACCTCGCTTCTTCATGTAACTCTTGCATCACTTTTATACATACATACGTTCATACATACACCCACACTCACACCACTTATCCACACACACACAATGCAATACACACACACACACACACATATATACGTATATATACGATTATATATATATATATATATATACAGGGTGTCAATTAAGTCCCGGGACGGCTGAATATTTTCTCATGTAAGGTATTTTTGAAAAAGGTCAAGGTCATTTCTGAAGTAATTTTCAACGATTAAGAAATGATTTGAAGCATCATAACTCGATAAATGCTTGAGGGAAAAATATTTTATTATAGTGTTTTGGAAAGCTCTCGAGGTCAGCTATAAAAATATACAATCAAAAATAGGGGTTCCTATTTAAAAAAAACACTTTGACCTTCAAATAACCTTGAAGGTCAAGCTCAAGGTCAAATTGAAGGTCACCGTTGAATTCCTCGTTGAAAATTACTTCAGAAATGACCTTGACCTTTTTCAAAAATACCTTACATGAGAAAATATTCAGCCGTCCCGGGACTTAATTGACACCCTGTATATATATATATATATATATATATATATATATACTGTATATATATACGTATATATAAGATTATATATATATACGTACAGATTATATATTTTACCAGATGCGATTTGCATGTGCGCTCTAGTTATTAATTAAAAAATACTTTTTAAAAAATATTTATCCCAGAGGCGATTTATTCGTGGACTGGTAGTTTTTAGAAATATTTCATACCAGATGCGGTTTGCATGTGTGCTCTGGTTATTAAAATATTTATTTCAGAGGCGATCTATTCGTGAGCTGATAATTAAAAAAAATCCAGTGGCGATCTAATTCGTGTGCTGGTTGTTTTTAGAAATATTTCATACCAGATGCGATTTGCATGTGCGCTCTGATTATTAAAATATTTATTTCAGAAGCGATCTATTTGTGAGCTGATTATTAAAAAAAAATTTAGAGGCAATCTAATTCGTGTGCTGGTTTAAGAAAAACCCAGAGGTGATTTAATTCTGATGCTGGCTATTCGAAAAGTATTCCAGAGACGATTTAATTCGTGTACTGGTTATTCAAAAAAAATCTAGAGTCGATTTAATTTGTATGTTGGTTATTCAAAAAAAATTCGAGAAGCTATCTTAATTTGTGTGCTGGTTACTGTTCAAAAATGGTTTATATCAGATACGATTTGCATGTGTATTCTGGAAGCGAAATTTAAACAAAATTTAATTTAGAGATTATAAAGACACTGCCTTAAAAGCATATTTGATAAGAATAAAAATCCAGATAAAATAAATCATTGAACCGATTTTTACATGTTATAAGAAGATTCTTATTTTATAAATGTGCTATATATTGCGATAATTCTTATGTAATTGTAGCATGTCATATAGCGACAAAAGCTAACAAATTATTGGAACAAATTACACTGATCGCTGGTGATTTTTTTTGATAACACCAAGCTTCGAATGTATGATAGCCTATGCGACTGTGTGGTGTCTAAAAAAAATTACTTGGTGACTAAAAAAAATTACTTTCATTGCCGTTGCCTACAAATAATATAATATTTGAAAAGCTTCAACTTGTTAGCATATGCTGTGGCTTTCCTTACACTACTATAAACTATAACCTTAGAAGGAAATCCTTGTAAGGAAAAATATTTTAATAATGTGAAATGTACAAAGCAACATTTTTTTTTAAATTATAGCAGAAAGTAAATTGCCTTTTCTAAAATAATAAATTATTCATATATTTTACATTTGTCATATATCGTATATTTATCATATTTGATCACGATATTTCAATGAATATCGTTAGAAAAAGACGCCTCAGTACAAATATCTCATTTGCATATATCAAAGAGACGAAAAAAATATATTATGGTTGCGTCTGCAAATGGACGAAACCTATTATATTATCGATATAAATCTATCATTTCGATGCTTTTGAGACAAAGAATGTATTATGAAAATATTTATATTATTTATATTTTATGACATTACATCAATTTGCATAAAACATTTTATATTGTTAGCTTTTGATTATATCGATTTAACAAACGTCGTGCATAAATTATAATTTGTAGAAAGTCATATGCAAATATCTTTTTTATTGTATATACAGAATGTCGCAGAGAACTATACATATATAAGCGCTTGTAAAGAGCGCAGTAAATTGAAGAAACAAGTCCCAGTATTTTACAATTTTCGCAATAATAGAAAGAAATAAAATAAATTAATTAATTATATGTAGGGACAATTGTCTCCTACTCCGTCTGTATCACACGTGTACATATATTCTCCCTCATATATTATACTAAATTTTCCTTCATCTTCACATATGCTGTCAGCTTTCTAATCCCTGCATGCATCCGACATCCACTTTCACTTTGGCAGAATTTACAACCCTTGCATGTTTCGTAGCCTTCCACCGAGCCTATAGATCGCCAAACAACACGTGGCAAACACATGGTTTTTTATAGAATTTCTCCTACCATAAAAATCTTCCCTTGGATGATGCATGCGGAATTCTGACTTCGAGACACTCACTGACTTCCACGCCTTCACAGGAGTCACATCCAGTGCTCGCGCCTTATACTAGTCTCGCTATCATCTCTTGTACGGATTTACGTTTCACTACCGTACATTGTGTTTTGGTTGTAATAAATTTATTATTTAATTAGCAAGAGCGTTGTCAATTATTCGCCAGATCACCCACAAATTGGTGACCCCGACGTGATCTGAAATTTGTTGTTCTTGCGAATCGAGTGATCTGTGCCGTGCATCGTAGTGCTGGACGCTCCGAGTTTATCAGTATGGTGCACAACAACGCTAGTGGTGTCACGAACCGCGAAATTACGGACCCGTTGCGTGCAACTTCGATCGATCGAGTGTCAGTGAAGGTACCACCGTTCATACCCACGGACCCGGAGTTGTGGTTTATGATGCTCGAGGGCGGTTTCGCAGCTGCGAGGGTAACTCAGGACAGCACCAAATATGGCCATGTCATCACAGCCCTCGATCAAAGGTATGCCCTGGAGGTCCGCGATATACTCATGAGAGAGGAACGATCACACGAGCTTTTCGCTCATGAGAGAGGAACGATCACACGATCACAAGCGCCTTGGCTCGTCGCGCGAGCAGAACACGTCGTTTACTAGAAAACGAGCCTCTCGGAGACCGCAAGCCGTCACAGTTTCTCCGACATCTACATGGCCTTGCCGGTAAGGAGTTCCCAGAGGACATCTTGCAGACGCTCTGGTTGGGCCGTCTGCCTAGACATGTCCAAGCACTCCTCGCGGCGCATCGGGACCTCACGCTCGAGAAACGAGCCGATATCGCGGATTCAATCGCGGATTTGTACGGACCAGTTGGACTCATCGCGGAGACAACAGCCACCGCACCGCAGCCTGCCCGGGCTCATGATGACAGTCTAACCCGCATGATGACGGAGATAGTGCAAAGACTCGCGGCCATCTAGGTCATTACGCAAGGAGCGCGTCAACCTATTGGCGGATCCTGCGAAGCCTGCGGAGGATCACGCTCACGTTCCCCGCCACGCTCACGCTCCCGGTCGCGTGCGCGATCGCGGAGCCGGCTTCCTAGTGCAGCTAGCGATATTTGCTGGTACCACTGGCAATACGGGGCGCTGGCAAGAAATTGCACCAAGCCGTGTAAATACGACGATAAATCATCGGGAAACGAACAGGGCAGTCGCTAATGGCGGCCGACGACATCAGCTCCGCGATATCGCGCCGCCTCTTCGTCAGTGACCGGTCCACGAAGACACAGTTCTTAATTGATACGGGGGCCGACGTGTGTGTATTCCCACGCTCGCATCTGCCGGGACCCCGTGCGAAATCAAACTACGAGCTCTCCGCGGCGAACGAAACAACCATCGCCACATACGGAACGATAGCGCTCACACTGGACTTTGGACTGCGACGGCAATTCACCTGGAGGTTTGTCGTTGCCGCGGTGTCCAAGCCGATCATCGGCGCAGACTTCCTCGTACACAACAGACTCCTGGTGGACATGAGGAACCAGCGGCTATTTGACGCAACCACTCAACTCACCTCTCATGGAAGGGTGATTGAGTGTGACATTCCGAGCGTTAAGACCATTTCAGGCTCATCGCGGTATCATGAGCTCCTCCACCAATTCCCGGAGGTGACACGACCGGATGGAGCCTCTAAGGCCGTAAGTCACTCGACGAGGCATCACATCACCACCACCCCAGGGCCACCCGTCGCATAGAGGCCACGTCGCCTTTCAACGGAGAAGTTGGAGGCGGCGAAGGAGTTCGAGGCCATGCTGCGCCTGGGAATCGCTCGCCCGTCGCAGAGCTCCTGGGCATCGCCTTTGCACATGGTGCCGAAGAAGAGCGACGACTGGCGGCCTTGCGGAGATTACCGCGCCCTTAATGCGAGAACCTATCCGGATCGATATCCCGTGAGACACATCCAGGATTTCTCCCAGTCACTCCGTGGGAAAAACGTCTTTTCCACTGTCGATCTGGTACGAGCCTTCAATCAGATTCCTGTCGCGGAGGAGGACATTCCAAAGACGGCCATCACGACGCCCTTCGGACTTTTCGAGTTCGAGTACATGACTTTCGGGCTGCGTAATGCCGCGCAGACCTTCCAGCGCTTTATCGACGAGGTGCTGCAAAGGTTGGAATTCTGCTACGCGTACATTGACGATATCCTCATCGCATCAACGTCGGAAGCAGAACATGTAGAACACCTGAGAATACTGCTTGAGCGGCTGAAGAAGTATGGTATCATCATCAACCCAGCTAAGTGCGTATTTGGACAGCCCGAAGTTAAATTTCTTGGCTACCTCGTTTCCGGCACAGGAACGCGCCCGTTACCGGAAAAGGTCGACGCTATACGGGCCTATCCACGACCTGACACTGTGAAGAAGTTGCGTCAATTCTTGGGCATGTTGAATTTTTATAGAAGATTCTTGCCCAAGGCCGCAGAGACTCAAACACCGCTTAACAACCTACTGCTAGGTAATGTTAAAGGGAAATCGCCAGTCAACTGGACATCAACAACCATAGAGGCATTTGAAGCAAGCAAGGAATGCTTAGCCCAAGCAACCTTGCTGGCTCATCCTGAGCCCAACGCACCGCTCGCAATCTTCAGCGACGCGTCAGACTACGCAGTCGGAGCAGCCCTCCAACAACGGATCGGAGGTGCCTGGCAACCCCTTGAGTTCTTTTCCAAGAAGCTAAGTCCTGCGGAAGCAAAGTACGGAGCCTACGATCGGGAGTTACTTGCGATTTACCTAGCAATTAAGCACTTCAGGTACACCGTGGAGGGACGATCATTCACAGTCTACACGGACCACAAACCTCTCGTCTATGCGTTCCTCAAGAAGACGGCCCAATGCTCACCTCGGCAGTTCAGACACCTGGACTTCATCGGACAGTTCACCACCGATATCCGCCATGTGTCCGGGGAGGACAACGTGGTAGCGGACGCTCTGTCGCGCGTGGAGGAAATTCAGCATACGCTCGATTTTGAAGCCTTGGCAGCAGTCCAACAAGAGGATGAAGAGCTCCAGCGATACTTGGAGGAAGATTCCACACTATTAATAAAAGAAGTACGCATTCCTGGCACCAACGTTGCGGTATTTTGCGACGTCTCAACGCAAATAGCGAGGCCCTTCGTTACCCAAGGGCTCAGGAAAATTGCATTCGACTCATTGCACCAGCTGTCCCACCCGGGAATCAACGCGACGGTTAAGCTCGTAACCCAACGTTACGTTTGGCCGTCGATTAAATCTGATTGCAGACAATGGGCCCGCAGCTGCATCCAATGCCAACGTGCCAAGATCTCTCGCCATGTCTCCTCACCTGTCGGCACATTCACGCCACCTTCTGCCAGGTTTGAGCATATTCACATCGATATCATAATCATGCCATTGTCAGAAGGACATCGATACTGCCTGACTATGGTAGATCGATACACTCGCTGGCCAGAAGCTGTCCCCCTGCACGACCAAGAAGCTTCAACAGTCGCACGTGCTCTCTACGACGGATGGATATCTCGATTTGGCACGCCATTGAGAATAACCACAGACCAGGGTAGACAATTTGAGTCGTATCTTTTCAAGCAATTAAATCACTTGTTAGGTACGACTCACTTGAGAACAACCGCTTATCACCCTTCAGCCAACGGCATGGTTGAACGGCTGCACCGTCAACTGAAAGCAGCAATCATGTGCCAACAACAGTGCCGTTGGACACAGAGCCTTTCCACCGTCTTGCTGGGAATCCGCTCAGCTTGGAAAGAGGACCTGCAAGCCACGGCGGCCGATATGGTCTACGGGCAGTCGCTGCGTCTTCCCGGCGAGTTCTTAGGATCTCTATATCGCAACAACGCAGCGGACAACGTGTCAGATTTCGTCAAGGAGCTACGCCAACATCTGAGGGAATTGAGACCGACGAAGGTATCTCGCCACGGTACGGGAAAGACATTCGTTTTTAAAGACCTTGCTACCTCGGAGGAAGTCTTTATACGCCATGATGGTCTCAAACAGCCTCTGCAACAACCGTATGACGGCCCATACAAAGTAATCAAACGGGCAGAGAAGACGTTCGTGGTTCGCATAAACGGCCGCGACGTTACCGTTTCCATCGACCGCCTTAAACCAGCGTACATCATGGCCGACGATCCAGTCGTCTCTCAGGATGGCAGCAACGTAGAGGACGCTCCAGGTCCCTCCGGAAAGGACACTGTGATCACAGACCTACCAGATACACAAAGACATACACAGCAGAAACCAGCACTAGGAAACTCGACTAAACACGTAACCAAATCAGGTAGACGTGTCCGCTTCCCGGACCGGCTACAAGGAGGATTTGCATGAATTCCTATCGTTAAACACTAGCAGGGGGGTACTGTAGGGACAATTGTCTCCTACTCCGTCTGTATCACACGTGTACATATATTCTCCCTCATATATTATACTAAATTTTCCTTCATCTTCACATATGCTGTCAGCTTTCTAATCCCTGCATGCATCCGACATCCACTTTCACTTTGGCAGAATTTACAACCCTTGCATGTTTCGTAGCCTTCCACCGAGCCTATAGATCGCCAAACAACACATGGCAAACACATGGTTTTTTATAGAATTTCTCCTACCATATATATAATAATATCAAATAAAATCGATCGAATGTGCATCTATGTGTGTGTTTGTGTGTATGTGAGAGAGAGGGGGAGAGAGAAAGAAAGAGAGAGAGAGAGAAACGCTCGGCTGTTCGAGCTATTGCATGATTCAGTGTGTTAGACATTTTGTCGGCGCGCGGCAAGGGGAGGGACAGCGCGGCGCAGCGATAACGTTGTAACGAATGACAACGGCATGTCTCGCTGTTCTTCTCTTTGCCATGTGCCGAAGACATGTCTAACACGCTGGATCATGCAATAGCTCGAACGGCCAAGCGTTTCTCTCTCTCTCTCTCTCTCTCTCTCACACACACAAACACACACGTAGATACATATTCGTTTGATATTATTTAATGTTATCATTTAATTTATTTATTTTATAATTTCTATTATTGCGAAAATCGTTAAATGCTATGGGACTTTTTTCTTCAATTTACTGCGCTCCTCACAAGCACTTATATATGTATAGTACTTTGCAACACTTTATATATACAATGAAAAGGATATTTGCATATAACTTTCTACAAATTACAATTTATGCACGACATTTGTTAAATCAATATAATCAAAAGCTAACAATATAAAATGTTTATGCAAATTGTTTGATATAATATCGTATTCGTAAAATTTATAAGTACATAACATTTATAAATATTTTCACAATATATTTTTATTATATATATAAAGAGACATAGCTAAACGAGAGAAATGATATTAGAATTATGTTTAAATATGTAAGCAGTAAAGACAGATCTATGCTCTAAATTGCTTGTGCGAGACGATAGAGTAGTGAAAACAACATATTTTGCAACATATTTTTTGTTTCAATAAATACAATTAACACAATAGAAAAGTTTTCATATTGCTCTTTCCAAAATATGCATGTCTCTCTATATTAGATAAGATTGTCGGTAACATAACTATAAGTGTTGGTAATGTACCGACACTTTTAGTTATGTTAAAATGAAGGCGCCTACCCATCGGAGTTCGGCTGCGATTCCGGCAAGGGGATCCTCTTAAGGGGATGCTGACCGTCCTTTTTTATCGATCAAAACGATTACTTTTTTCTGCACCGAAATTTTTTTATAGATCGTACGGAATAATAAATCCTTTTCTATGATTAAAGTATACATAGTAATATACACCGGAGCTATTGACTTTTTGTTAAAAATGAAAGAAAATTAAAAAATTATAGATTTTTTATTGACTTCTGACGTCAGATCGTAACAATACTCTCTTAATATAAATGTTTCACAGTTTGTGCGTGCAAAATAGAATCAGTCCGGGCTTGTAAATATATGAAGGAATATAGATGAACTTCTCCAAATAAGTTTAATAGTCGAATAAAAAAAATTTCGGTGCAGAAAATTTTTGTGCATATGTGTTGAGATCGAGGTAAAAGAGTAAAACAGACTCATAGATTAGTTGCCCGATGTCGCAATAGGAGACACTACAATCTATTTGTGTGACAAGGAGAGACTATATCATACCATCCTTCTCTTCCATTTCGCGTGTAATAGAATACGTCAGTATACATATACGCGCACACTAAGGCATCACACTCCTGTGTTTATTTTCTCGTATTATATGTCATAGGTACCGCTGTCGCGCGGCGTCGTAACAATCGTACGTGTTACAAGCCTCGCGAAAACAACGTTACAACGTGGAAAATATTCTGTGTGAGTTATACATATACACAATATATACAGGGTGTCCCTGAGCATGTGCTCACTCATTTGTAAAAAGGTAGAGCGCAATAAATTAAATAAAGAAATTCTGTTATATGTAACGATTTTGTAATAACAATCGAAATATTAATTATTGAAATCGGACAAATGAGAGAAGCGCTCGAGCGCTCGAGCTATAGCACGGCCCACCGTGTCAGACATTGCCTGCCGGCACGCAGCGGGAGGAGGGACAGCGCGCCGTGGTTACCGCTATCGCCATTCTCACGTTTCATTGCATCGCGTCAAGACTCGCATCTCGCGTCTCATTTATGGCATTGTTTGGCGCGCAGTCCCTCCTCCCGCCGCGTGCCGGCAGGCAATGTCTGACACGGTGGGCCGTGCTATAGCT